TCTACTCTTATCTTTATTATTTCCTTCCTTCTTCTTGCTTTGGATTTATTTTGCTTTTTCTTTTTTAGTTTTTTAAGATTAGATTATTGGTTTGAGATTTTTCTTATTTTCTAATAAAAATTTTAATATTTGGAGATTTTCCTGTTTTTTGGTTTTGTTTTGTTTTGTTTTTTGACTTCTAGTTTAATTCCATTATGATCAAAGAACACATATTGTATGATTTCAATTCCTTTACATTTGTTAAAGTTTATTTTATGATCCAGAATATGGTTTATCTTGGTGAATGTTCTACGTACACTTGAAAAAAATACATATTCTGTCTGCTGTTGTTGGATGGAGTATTCTAGAAATGTCCATTAAATACAGTTGACCAATGGTGTTTTTCAATCAGCAATGGTGATTGTTTAAACCAGCAATTCTATAATCTTGATGATTTTCTCTGTACTACTTCAATCAATAACTGAGTGAGGAATGTAGCTCCCCAGCTGTAACTGGATTTATGTATCTCTTCTTTCGGTTCTCTTAGTTTTTGCTTCATGTTGGAAGCTCTGATGTTAGGTGCATACACACTTAGGATTATGTCTTCTTGTTGAAACGATCATTGTATCATTATAGCATGCCCCTCTTCATACCTGGTGACTTTATTTGTTTGCTCTGAAATCTACCTTGTCTATTATTAATATAGTGGCTCAGTGTTTTTTGTTGTTGTTGTTATTATTTTTTAATGTGTGCGTGGTTTATCTTAGTTCATCCTTTTACTTTAAATTTACCTGTATCATCATATTTGAAGTTTCTTGGCAATAGCATATAGTTGAGGCTTTACAAAAAATTTATTCTGATAATCTCTATCTTTTGACTGGTAGATTGAGACCATTTAAATTTAATGTAATTATTTATACATTGAAATTTAGGTCTGTAATTTTGGTATTTGTCTTCTGGTTGTGAATATATGTTTCTGTTTGTAGCCTTGTGAGATCCTGAGCAGAAAGCCCAGAGAATCCTGCCTAGCATTCTGACCTTAGAACTGTGAGATAACAAGTTCATGTGGTTTTAAGCTGTTATTTGTGGTAATTTGTTATGCAGCAACAGAGCACTAACACATGTCTCTTCCCACAGTGAATCAGCGCTGGCCTCTGTGACCAGCAGATTGTAGAGGAAGTGACAGAGCGTGACTTTGAAGATAACCTCACACAGGCATCAGATCAGCCCTAGGAAGAGGCTGGCGAGGAAGGAACTAAACCCTTCGTCCAACAGCCAGCATCACCTTCTAGTCACCTGAGGGAGCCACTGAACAGGTGGATCTTTCAACCCCAAACAAGTCTTCAGGGGCCTGTAGCTCTTGCTGACCTCTGATTGCAACCTCATGAGAGACCCTTGACCAGAGCCACCTAGCCAAGCGACCCCTGAATTCATGAGCACAGAAACAATAAGAGATAATAAATAATAAATGATTATTGTTTAATCCACTAACTTTTGGGGAACTTTTAATGCAGCATTAATTAATATATGGGCCTATTGTATGCTAGGCATTATACTACACGTTAGAAATATAGCAACGAATAAAGCCAAGTGCCTGCCGAGTTTATATTCTACTTTAGGGGGAGGTAGAAACTATATAAATAGATAAATTTATTCTTTGTTAGTTTGACCTATGCTGAGAGAAGAATAAATTAGAGTAAGGAGGTTGAAAAGTGATGGGGAGGCTTTTATAAGATGCCCAGGGAACACCTCTTTGATGAGTAGAAATTCAAACAGTGACCTGAAATGAGGAGACATCAAGCTACACAGGTGTTTTGGGGAAGAACATTCTAGCAGAGGGAGTTTCAGGTGTAAAGACCACGAGGTGGGAGTGTCCTCCGTGAGTATAAAGAATTGCCAAGGATGTGAAGAGCCTGTGTCTCGTTTTAACTGATACCCTTCTAGAATGTTTGGGATGACAGTTGCCAGATTAAATACAGAATTCCCTGTTAAATTTGAATTTCAGATAAACAATGACTTAAAAGTATAAGCATGTTCCAACCATTGCATGGGAAATACTTACTAAAATTACTAGTTTATCTGAAATTCAAATTGAACGAGGAGTCCTGAATTTTAACTTGACCTATCTGGCAACCCTGTTTGGAGGAAAGGAAAATCTGAAGACAAGCAGTTAAAACAATTACGATCATGGAACACATGTCTTTTGGAGGGATGATGGAGGAATTAATATATATATATATACTGAAACAGAGAAGGCTAAGAGGGTGCTTCCAACCACCCCCAAATTAAGGCAACACAGTAGAATAGAAAATGTACAGAACAAGGGGCTGTTGGATAGCTAACCATCTCCTGGACAGATTCCTCCAGATGTTTTGCAGGCACTGAAGATGAAAACCCACTGAACACATCTGGATACACATCCTCACAGTAGGATACAGCAGTAGCGCCAGATAATACCTGCAATCTCTTTCAGTTCAGTGAAGGGTTAGACATTGCACAAGGACTTGCTGCTTTGCCATCTCCACAGAGCTCAGAGCAGGAGTTGATGAGTCTGGCCGTGAGGGAAGTGATTAAATGGAAGGAGAACGGAACTGAAGGTGATTAACTCTGGACGGCTCTGCACGGAAGGTGGCACGATCTTGCTCCTTCATGATCCTTTAAGAGAGTCGGCAGCTGTGGTGGGTAACATGGATTCACAGAGTGTCACTGTGGGGTGGGAGGACTGAACCGGGGACACTCTTGAAGGTCCAGACCCTGGAATGACTTGATTTGGGTCTAGAGAAGGAGAGGGAAATGACCCTTTCCTCCTGTTAGGAGTTGGTACCAGTTCGTAGAGACTGTCACTATGTTGCTGTAGCCCCCAAAACAGCCTTTCAAAGTGTCTTCTTTCTACCTGAATCAGACTTGCCTAGAATGACTGTTAAAATACGCAGTTTCCTGAGTCCTACCCCAGACCTACTGAATGTGGAAGAAAGGCCCCCAAATATGAATTTTAACAAGTTCACCAAGTAGTCTGTATACATTACAGCTTGAGAATCCTGGTCATTGAGAAATGAGAGGCGTTCTTCCTCCGCCCAGGCATGGACCCTCAAACACCTGCATCGCCCTGCCTGTGGGGACCCGGGCCCTGGGTACGCTGACTTCCTGGAGGAGGTGCACCTGCCAGGGATGGAGCTGGGGAAGGGGCCAAAGGCTTTAAGAAGGATTTTGGTCAGGAAGTTCTAGGCTGAGTGGAGGAGAGGGAAAGACACTGGAGTTACTGGGTTTTAACTTTTGTCCAAACTCCCATTATAACAAAAACTATGTCTGGAATTTCTATTCCTCTTTGTTTTATCTTTTTCAAGTTTTCTACCAATTTTTAAAAAGTCGAGTGGTACCTTTATTAAGGCAAAAAGAAGAATTCGTTCTATTCCACAGTCAGGATAGATGGGGGACTCGGAATATCCCAAGAGACGACGGGGCAGACAACCACCCCTTCGAAGTTCCCAGAAGGAACCGGTGGCGCTGGCGAAGGTACAGCAGAGGAAGAGCTCGGAGCCAGCGGGGGGCAGTTCGAGGCAGTTCAACATTATAAATGGAGTCCCAAGGCACCCAGCATTTCCACTGTACTGTCTGTTAAGGGTTGTGAAAATCCTTGGTGAGGAAGAACTATGAAGAAAGGACCAATGTTCCCGACCTGCCCTGCCAGGTCACTGGAGGTTCTGCTGGCGCAGGTCCCTCCAGCTGACCGCGTGGGACACCCCTCAGCGTGGAGTCGCTTTTGGACTCCTCCCGGGCCTTCTGCAGCGCTCTGAGCTCTTCCCTCCCTCCTGTCACCGTTCACATGTCTCTGTTTCAAGCTCAGCTCTCTTCAGATGACCTCCTGCTGGTGGATGGCCCTGTCACCACCAAGGTGTTCCAGCCTCAAACTCCTCTGACCTTCCCCCGACTCTTCTGCCTCCTTTCTAGGTCGGTGCAGGGCAGTTAACTGGGCACGGGAACCTGACCCTGCGCAAGTGTGGCTGTTCCCTTGGGGTCAGGGGACCGGCCTGGGTCTTGCAGAGCGTGAACTCTGAAACATGCTAGTGTTTACGGTTTGAGCATCTCAACAAGCCGTTTCAGCCCAGTGGGGTGAACTCACCTCTTGGCGCAGGGCCGTGAAACTTGCCCCCGAGCGAGCGGCAACTTGTCCTTGCTTCTGGTGATTCCAAACTGAGTCTAAGTTCCTCCAGTACGTTCACACAAAGCAAAACTTTCCCCTGTCACAGCAGCTTGGTTTGATTTGGGTTGTTTGACTACAAAAGCCCAAAGGCCAAGTAATTATTTAGAAATATTAGGAGTCAGCAGCACAAATGAGATTGAGTTTTTGTGAAAAGTTAAAAGATTTCTCATTTAGGGAGGAAGTTCACAAAAGACCCCATTAGCCAAGCCTCAGCAGTAATTAGTCTGACTTCTCAGGCAAGAGGCAGGCTAATTGTCTGCCATCCATCCCAGAAGGCCTAGGGACACTTTAAAACCTACCACCCTTTGAAAAAGATCTTTGGAGAATTTCCTGCTGGGTTTAAAGCCTTTCTATTAACTAAATGTTCAAACTGAGATCGATATGTGAAAATATGATTAAAGTACATTTAATCTACCCTCCATATATCAACTTTGTAGCTGACTTATCAATGACCTCGATAGCATCCTCTTCCCCCTCCCTAGTGCAGGATCCAGTCAAGGGTCAAGTATTGCATTTTTTTTTTGTCATACCTTTTTTTTTAATCCTCACCTGAGGACATTTTTCCATTTTTGTTCAGCTAGAGTGGGAGGAAGAGAGAGAGACAGAGAGAAACATTGACATGAAAGAGATACATCGAGTGGCTGCCTCCCGCATGACCCCAACCAGGGCCAGGGACAAATCACAACTGAGGTAGGTACCGTTGGCCAGAATTGAACCTGCGACTCAATGGTCCGCAGGCCAATGCTCCAACCACTGAGCCAAACCTGCCAGGGCATTGCCATACCTTTTTAGCTTCCTTTAATCTGTTGTTTATGATATTTATCTCTTTTTCTATTTCATGAATTTACATGTTATCTCTGTGCAGGGGGGCAGTGCTAATCTTCTCTGTATCATTTCATTTTTACTACATGTGTGAGGACTACACACCCTATTGTTTTATTAGCATGTTCCTCATTGTATGTTTTCCTGGTGTTTCCTGAAGGTTAGATTATGCGATCCCGTGATAAGTGCTCTGTCTGGGGTTCCATAACTGGAGCCACACAATGTCATTGATGTTCTGCATAGATGAGGTCAACTTTGCTCATCCAGTCAAGGTGCTGTGCAATTTCCCCATTGTGTGGTTGCTGATTTTTTCTCCCTTGACACTAACAAGCAATATGTGGAGAGTCATTTTAAGACTATGCAACCAATAATCTGAAAGCAGCAACTGTAAGAGCACCTTCCTGTGTCAACCACTGCAAGTTACTGACGTGGCCTCTGCACCCTAGAGAGGCTCCCTCCATTCTCGTGACCACAGCCTGTCTTCTCTTGGCTCAAAGCCCTCTCTTGGGCATACTGTATCAGGTGTGGGATCAGATCTGGTTGCTAATGCTGTGGTAGGAAGCTGCAGATGGAACTGGGGCAAAGAAAAAGAGAAAAGAAAAATACTAATAAGGGGGTTCCAGCAAGAGGGGAACATGGCCTCCGGATGCCTAGCTCACCTCCAGAAAAGGGAGAAACAGACAGGAGGGGCTGGGAGGTTAGGGAAGCTGAAGCCACTGAGTCACACTGGTGGAGTTTGGCCTGTGACACTGAGCCTCTGGCCTCTGTGGGGTTAGTAGCCCAGGCCATTGCCTTTGTAGTTCTCAGTGGGCTGTCCGAGGGAGGATGCTCTCTAAAGAGGAGCCAGCAGCTGCTAAGACTTCTGAAAAGACAAAAAACCCCAACAGGCTCATGACAAAGAAGAACAGGTCCCAAATTTAATGGCTTAAGAACTCTGGAGGAGCCATTTGAGCTCCTGCCTGGACCCCCACTGTGCACAGCCATTCCAGGACCAAGCGGGTGCCGAAGCACCTGACAGCTGACCTGTTCGGGGAACAGGACAGTGTAGCCAGCCACTCAGAACTTCTACCCGGCACCCAGGGAGCCGGGTTTTTATCCAGTTCTTCTGCAAACAAAATAAAGAAGTAAATAAAAATGTCTTAATTATTAAATTCCATGGTATGAACCCCAAATTGGCTTAAAAGAGACTCCTTTGATCAGCGGGTCCCTGAAGGAGAGCCACCAAGAAGCACTGTGGGGTTCTTTACCAAGTTTGGAGGGTGCCCTGGAAGATGTCAATGTGGAGACATTTTTTCATCCATCCATCCATTTCTTTCTTTTTTTAAATTTGTTGTATTTTATTTTTTTATCCTCACCCGAGGACATTTTTTCATTTTTTGTTCAGATAGAGTGGGAGGGAGAGAGAGAGAGAGAGAGAGAAACATCGACGTGAAAGGGACACATCAAGTGACTGCCACCCGCACGACCAACCAGGGCCGGGGACAAACTGCAACCGAGGTACCTGCCCTTAGCGGGAACCGAACCCGGGTCTCTCTGGACCACAGGCCAACATTCTAACCGCTGAGCCAAACTGGCCAGGGCCATCCATTTGTTTCTATCTATTCTTTCAACCAATGAATGTTTCTTGAATAAGCGTCTATGTACTTAGAGACCCAGGATACTAAGCTGGAGATAGAGAGGGGAGAAAACTTTCTTTTTTTTTTTTATCCTCACCCGAGGATATTTTTCCATTTTTTGTACAGATAGTGTGGGAGGGAGAGAGAGGAAAGGGGAGAGAGTGAGAAACATCGATGTGAAGGGACACATTGAGTGGCTGCCACCCGCACAACCAACCAGAGCCGGGGACAAACTGCAACCGAAGTACGTGCCCTTAGCGGGAACCGAACCTGGGTCTCTCCGGACCGCAGGCCGACGCTCTAACCGCTGAGCCAAACTGGCCAGGGCGAAAACTTTCTAATAATAAAAAGAGAAATAGTTCTATCCGGATTGGGTGAATAGAGAAAATCTTTACTTTTCCTATCATTATGAAAATGTCTAACCTCTACTGACAATTATAAATACAGAATCTAGAATCTACTGAAAGAAAAGAGCTTTCTTTTCTCTTACACCAGGGGAAAAAAGTAAAGAAAGAAAGGTAGCTGATTATGAATTAGAATTGACCCTTAAATCTATGAGGTGTGGGGCTGCTAAAAGGTGGTGTTTGTTTTGACATTGGGCTCTATCACTGGGAAACAACACAGCCCTCTAGTGATTCAGCACTTATCTATGCCCCCTGCCTTGAGCTTGGAGAAAATAGGTCAAGGAAGCTGGAAGCTGCCCAGAGGGAAGAGGCAGCAGGGAAGCTCAAGAGCCAGCCTGTGTGGGGAGCAGGCCCCAGGACAAGAGCTCCTTAGCCTTGGTGCTGAGGGTCGGCAGGTGCCTCGGCCGCCCTGCACGGGGAGATTCCTGGGAATGGAAGAAGCAGGGCTTTCTTTGAGCCAAAGCACGGACTCCAGGGAACAGTTGAGATTTCTGCTGTTTAAGGAATTAAATAGTTGGAAGCTCACTCGCCTATTGAAAATGCTCCCCATGATTAAACTGAAGTGCTGGGCAGGAGTTTCCCCCAGTACAGAGAAATTCTGGGGCCAGATGGTGTGCTGCAGGCAGAGGTGTTGGAGAAGAAGCCCCGGTTGCGAGCTGGTTCTGCGGGATGGTGTCTGACAGCCCAATGTCCCCCGTGGGAAACTGGCCCATCAACGCCAAACCTAGGGAATAAAGCTGCTGCCTCCAGTCAGGCCCCAGAGAAGCAGCAAGATTTCCTACTTTTAGTAATTGTTTGTAAAGAATGAGGAGAGGTTTGTGAGGGTACCTGTTTGTGACTGCCCCTGGCCTTTCTGTCCCCAGCCACGATCACCGACAAGTCTTTCCCCGAGGTATTTCAGTTGTTTGCTGATCCAAGCTACTGGTTATATTTCCAGCCAGGATGCTGATGCCCTGAGAATGAAGTACATTTGAGGCCAAGCCTCCTTTGTGAGAGACTCACCATCCCTCTTTCCTACCAATTTAGGACACGGCCAAGAATCATAGGGTAGGAAAAACCAATAAAACATTGGAGAACCCAGAGCTGATGTCACAAATGTTTAATTTGTTTTGTTTATTTATACTCTGCCAATTAAAAAAAAAAGCTTTAGATTGTTCACATATGGACTCTCTCAGGGCTCCATTCAGAATCCATTTATACTATCTAAGTAATTCTCACAAGATATCTAAGCTCTCAGATTTAAAAAGCAACAAATAGTTTAATGTGGAAGAAGCTGTGACAGTTCTGTAAACTTACAGTGGCAGGAAAGGGCAGGTGTCAACAAGAGGGGGACAGAAAAGCTGTATAGTCCCAAGAACTCAAAACCAACCACCTGGGCCATTAGTGTAGTTAAGTAACCCTTGGAGTCTGAAATCTATTCTAGAATGGACCATTAACTGATATTTTTATGGATGACCCTGAGTCTCTAAGAGAAGGTAAAATTATGTTCACTTTGCCTTGCTTAGGAAGTTGAAATATATTTGTTTAGGAAGATTTTTGTCCCATGTCACTAAAATTCTACAGTTTTCTGTTTAAATGATTAAACTTTTAAGCATTTGGAGGTTTAGTCATCTAGAATAAGTCATAGCACAAGGTTCAGAAAAGCCTGGGGAGCAAATTTTCAACTTGAATACAGGTGTGTTTGGGGTTTAAATCAGTTGGCTCTTGCTACGAGTTATATTTATCTTGAAAGGTGTAATTTGGGCTTCACACAAATCTTTGTAAATAGCACTCATATGATTTATATAGTAATAAATCAAAACCACAGGACCAGGTTTTTGTTTTTTTTTTGCTTAAATTTACATGGGCTTACAAACTAGTAATATAAATGGATTTGGTGGCTTTCCAAATTAAAAAAAAAATTTAGAAATAGAATTTAAGGCAGAATCATATCTTTTTTGGTTTGGTTGGTTATGTCCTTGGAATACTGGAATTGGTTGAGTGCAAGGTACACTGGCCACTGGTCTTTGGCTGCTAAGAATCCAGTTCCCTTCTTACTTGGAGAGAATCCTGGTGGAAAGTTCTACCTCTCCTGTGGAAGCCAGAGGGGCGAACTCTCTGTCCTAGCCCCCAAAGGTATGAGCATATGACTCGGAATTGACCCAGGATTGGCCTTGACCTTTGCCTTTGAATCCACAGGGAGTGCTAATTATTGGTGAATTCTACACTGTTCTAATAAGATAGGGAGGAGTGTCAAGGTAGGGGGAAATGATTGCCCTTGAAAGCAATGTAAGTTTGTAGGATAGTCTGTGGGGTGTGTGTGTGTGTGTGTGTGTGTGTGTGTGTGTGTGTGACAGAAGAAACCCCTAGTGTCCTACCTCACAGTGTGGGTGATGATGAACCAAGAGATGTGAAGACAGTAGGACCAGGCAGAGACTCTCTCCTCATATTTATATACTAGGGTAAGACACAGGCTGGATCCAGTGATGTAAAAGATAAATATAATTTTGATAATAATAGTAATAAAAATACCTTATGTTTTTTAATGCTTTATATGTGCTAAGGAATTAGTATAAGTTTTTCGTTTAATACTCACTGTTAACATACGTGCCAGGACCTGTTCATGTCCCCATTTTGCAGCATCAGTCATGACTGCTATATTGCCAAATCCAAGGGACATTTTTAAGTCCTCATCTTGAACTTTAGTGTCAAAGAACAGATTAAGCTCTCCCTTCTGTGGAAGTTTACCTACTTTGTTTTCCAGGACACTATATTCTTTCGGTAATCCTGTTCTTTGGCCACTACTCTGTCTTTGTGGCCTCTTCCCCTGCCCTCACCACTCGTAGGGGTATCTTCCATTCCAAGCCTTCCCACTCTCTACGGGTGATCCCATAATTCATAGTTCTACCTATATCTTTTTGATGCTCAAATAATAATGAGAATAACAGATTTATTGAGTGATTTCTATGTTCCATGTTATTTTCTCATTTAATGCTCAACATCACAATGTTGGTCGTATTGTCATCCTAGTTTTGTAGATGAAAAAACAGCCAGAGGCTGCTCAAGATCATGATGCTGGTAAATGGTGGAGGTAGAATTCCAGACC